GGTAAACAGAGGCATGCGTGTGGAGTAAGGAAAGCTGCAGAGGCACGTGTGTGAAGTAAGTTTTCGCCCTGCCCGGGAACCGAACTCAGGTCCTCTCGCTTGGGAGGCGAGCGCTCCACCCCCTAAGCTACAGGACTCCTCGATCGAGAGCCTATTGTATTGCTGTTACCTGCAGGTCAGGCTTAGCATTGGGCTCGGTAGGGAGTAACACTCCCTCTGCTCTTGCCTTGCCTCGTTCTCCCCCTACAGCCATCCTGTACTGGCACAGCGTGACTCATCTCATCCCCCCACCAGCCATCTCCGTGGCCAGCCTGTGTCGGCTTGCCAGGAAGCACAGAAATCTGGAGAGGTGTTTTTTTTTCCCCCGAGTTGAAGCCATTCAGCACATTCCCCAGTTCTAAGCCTCTTTTCCCCAGTGTTCAGACTGGGGCGGAATAACAGCAAGCTAAGATCTGACTTGCAAGGCTGGATTCGTGCCACAGTCTTGCCACAGGAGATTCCTCTTCTGTGGTTAGCACAACAGAGCCTGTGCTTGCATTAACAAAATACAGCCCAGGCCAGATCCAACAGGCTTGACCCTTTAACTTGTTTGAGAGAGTCTGAACACATTTATTATAATAATAATAATAATAATAATAATCCTTGCTTTGGATACAGCGCCTTATCACGACTTCGAGACGTCTCGAAGCGCTTCACGGGACATATAAAGCAGCTTGACTGTATATTTTGTGGGCAAAGCGGCAGGCAATTGCGCACAGCAGCCTCTCAGGTTTTTGTTTTGACAAACATGTTCCCACTCACTGGTGGGTAAACTAAGGAGTAAGGGAATTTGAACAACTTTTCGCCCTGCCCTGGAATCCAACCCCTGTCCTCTCGCTTGCGAGGCGAGTGCTCTAACCACTGAGCTACAGGGCATTATCCCACGCCGCAAAGAAAAACCCGAGTCTAAATATGAAGGGTTCCCTCCCCACCCCCCTTTGACCTCTCGCTAATGGACACACGTTCTAGTTTTGCGCGAGAGGGTATTAAAACAATGCATTACTCAACTACTTTTCACTCCACCGCCCAAGCCTGGCTTGGGGCAAGCCTTCGGTAAGCAGTCTCTGTTGCCTTGTGATTTTTTCGGTTATCGGGCTAGTTTTGGCTAAGCTGTCAGATATTCCTGCCAGTTTGCCTTCAGAGCCGGGCCTGCGGGAAGCACGTGCCTCCGACCCCCCCCCCCCCCCCCCAACCACCACCGCCCCGCACCCACCCCGTTAATCATTCACTCCATCTCTAAACACGGCTGTTTACAGAGCTCTCAGCTTTGCAGTGGACCGCAGCTACAGAATGTAAATAACTAGTTCGGGTCAATCCCCCAGGACATTGCTGGTTAGGGAGAAGGGATAGAGAAGTGATGAGGTCAGCAGATGTAGATTCCTCTCCCTTTTTCTCCCTCTCATCCCCACCCCCACCCCCACCGCCACTTGGCTTAATAATAATAATAATCCTTGCATTTGACATAGCGCCTTATCACGTCTTCGTGACGTCTCAAAGGGCTTCACTGCAGAGTGGATCAACTGTATTTGCGCTGAGAGCAATGTCGCACAAACCATCGTGGATTGAGTGACTCAACCTGAACGTGAGAGAGTCTGAGCGGATTCCTTTCAGTCGTTTGATTTTTAAAAGCCTCCTAATAGCCAAGTGACTAAGGTATTGCAGTCTCGGTTCAGATATTAATTTCAGTTGCAGGTACGTATGTATGTGTTACATAATCTTTTGAAAGATTTCCTTTATAATTGTAATAATGACTCGTACCTGGAATTAATTACCCCGGACATTTCCTCGCCTGTTCGAGCTTGTGGATTCTGCTGCATTGTGCTGCCAATTAAGAGGGAACGGAGATTGCTTTCCTTGCCTCTATCCTCCCTCGGTGGCTTTAGTAAATGGGCTGCGTTTAAAATGATTAAAGAGTTCGGCTCAGAGAAGACGTTTCAACCAGTTGTAGACTCCTGAAGGGGAGTGGTACCGCTTAATTGACGCTGGCAGTAAATTTGCTATCAACAATCCGGCCGATTAGAATCCTATCATTTATTTAGATAAATTAGCTGCGTCGTTTGCCCTTTCCCATGCGTTTCTGCGACCCTTGACGCAACGTGGAAACGTCACAAAGCGCTTCCCGGGGGGAATTGCTGTTGAGTGTGGTGACTACGGCATCCAGCGCGTGCCCAGCAAAGGCGCCCGAAATCGCCGAGAGGTAACTGGCAGACTTTATTTGGAAGGAGATTATGGCCAGAGCACAAAAAGAAAGAGAAACTCCCTCTTCATTTCCCACCGGGACTGTGGGATACTTACATGTCTCTTGTTTCAGCTTCTCATCTGAAGGACAGCACCTCTGCCAACACAGTACTACTTCCTCTCCCTCTTCGCCCGTGCTGGAGTTTGGCCTAGACTGAGCTCGATTGCCTTGATGATGGGGTTTATTTTTCCAAGCATCACACACACACACACACACACACACAGACACACACAGATGTGACTCTTTGATCCGCTGGGAGTGAGTTAAAAGCTTTGACTCCAGGTGGCGTCACGTTTGAAGGTGCAGTGAATTAAGGCGCCTCGGCCCAAACCTGAAGGCCACGGGTTCAGAATTGTGGGTTGTGTTGTCCTCAGCCTTAAAGCAGCGTTTAAGATTACAGTCGGGTTTGTTTAGTGCACCTGGATTGAGGGAGGAGGAAAAATGAGGCCGCTTCCTGATTTTTGACTGCTATCCAGAGACCCCCTGCTGTAAGGTATGTGGAGTCCTGTAGCTCAGTGGTTAGAGCGCTCGCCTCGCAAGCGAGAGGACCTGGGTTCGATTCCCGGGTCAGGGCGAAACATTGGGCAAGTTTCCTTACGCCACCCGCCTCTGTTAACCCAGCAGTTGGTAGGAACCCGGTTGTTGTTGGATCGTCGGATCGCTTTCCGGGGGTAATGATCCCCCTCCACACAAAGAAATACGGACAATAATGCGGTCACTCAATCCACGACTGTGCGTGGGACGCCGCGGTGCGCAGTTGGCCGCCGCCTTTCCCCCTCGAAACATTCGCTCTCCGCAGGATTTCCTGTGAAGTGCTTTGAGACGTCTCGAAGACGTGATATCGACTGCAAAGGTTATTATTATTTTGGTATCACGTGGGTTGTCCCAAGTGGCCGGGGCTTATGTTGTTTGTGAGGGCTGTGTGTGTGTGTGGTGTGTGTGTGTACTGCACAGACGCCATCGGTGCAGCGCTAAGCCCTGATTATTGCGAGACTCTTGACTGTAAGTTATGTAAAAATCCGCCCGGCCTCCCTGTACTGTTTTTCTCCCTTTTCTCTTCCTGTTGTGGCCGCCGGCCAAACACAAGTATGTTTTCACTTATGCAAAACGGGTCAGAGGCATTTTATTTGTGTGCGTGCTTGTGTGTGTGTGTGTGTGTGTGTGTGTGGTGTGGTGTGCGCGTGTTTGTGTATGTGGTGCGTGTGTGTTTGTGTGTGGTGTGTGTTTGTGTGTGTGGTGTGTGCCTTTGTGTGTGTGGTGTTTGTGTGCGTGTGTACGTGTGGTGCCTGTGTGTTTGTGTGCGGTGTGCCTTTGTGTGTGTGTGGTGCGTTTGTGTGTGTGTTGTGTGGTGTGTGTGTGTGTGGTGCGTGCCTTTGTGTAGTGTGTAGTGTGCTACTCGCTCGCTGGTCGTTTAATCCAAGAGCCAACCGGGGAGCCAACCGTTTGAACTCCCACTGCAGAGGGAGCAGGGCGACGCATCTCCTAGTAACGGGCCGCCGGGGGAACGCACCCTCCCCTCGCCTCCCTCACGTGACACCGTCCCACCGCGGGTGTTTACCTCTCATTGTCTCCTCAACATTGGCAGCTGTCTGGAAGGAAAAAGCAGCCACCGACCAACCTCGGCAGATTGCACAGCGCAACAACAACTTGCGTTTACACAGCCCCACCCCCCCCCACCCCCACTCGCGTGGGGTAGTGTCCCGCGGCGCTCGACAGTGGCGGAGTCCGACTCTGAAGGAGGGGGAAGGCGGGGAGACAGGCGGATGGATTGAGGGAGCGGAGGGAGGGGCACGAGAGACACGGACAGGAGGCCGGAGCCGGCCGAAGCGATGCAGCTGTCGTCGCAGCGAGGGTTTATCCTCTCGTTGTAGTGCGCAAGACTGGCAGCCCTCGGGCAGCTGCCTGGTAGAGCCACCAGACCGGGCTGTGCAGGACAGGGCTGGACAGCAGCGCCGGGACCATAACACGATCCTCAGCGCTCCAGTGTAACTCTCTCAGCTGACAAGCTATTGCTGCCCAACCCTCCGTTGCGTTCTGAGCCCAAGCAGCGAGGCCCGAGACATGAGGCTGATCTCTCTGGGCGGCCGAGGAGGTGGTCTTTGCCCGCGCCCTGCCACTGTAATGGTTGGAGAGCTCGCCTCGCAAGCGAGAGGAGCCGGGTTCGATTCCCGGCCGGGCGTGGCGAAATCTCAGCCAAGTTTCCTTACTTCACACGCACACACCTCTTGTTTAATTAGCAGTAAGTAGGAGCCCAGTTGTTAGTCGATTGGCGGCCCCCACTAAATCATTCTTCTACTCCCAGTGCCTTGAGGCTTCCTCCCCACGTGAAAAGCGTTATACGAATGTTATTTTGCATTGTATTGTTCCATCGCACAATCCCTTCGCCTCACTTCCTCTGTTGCCTCCTTCAAGACACGACTTAAGACCTTCCTTTTCGACCGTGCCTTCAGCCGCCCTCCTAACCCCCTCTGCCCTCCCTCACCCTGTCCAGCTCCCCCCCCACCCACCAACGCTCGGATCCTGATCCCTGACTGTCCAGCGCCTTGGGACGTCCTCCCGACGTGAACGGCGCTTCACAAATGTAGTTTTGTTGCTGTTGCTGGATGGTCTGTGAAGCGCTTTGAGACGTCTCGAAGACGTGATAAGGCGCTGTTATCAAATGTGAGGATTATTATTATTTTATAATTACTATTATTATGAACGGGATGTTTTTGCGTTTAAGGGCTGACCACGGAGGGGATTTACCGCGTCAGTGGGAACAAGTCAGAAATGGACTTCCTCCAGAGGCAGTTTGATCAAGGTAAGCCGACAGAGTCTTCGGTTCCAAGTTGACTTGGAAGTTTTTTTTCCCCAGCAATTTAGTGGTGTGTTGGTGAGGTGGGCCACATCCAGGCCCTGATCAAAGGAACAGGAGGAGGCCATTCAGCCCCTGGAGCCTGTTCCGCCATTCTGTAAGATCATGGCTGATCTATACCTCAACTCCACTTAACCCGCCATATCCAATGTCTTCACACAATGAGACAGACGACAGGAGCATTGTGGCATCTTCAGGGCACTCATTTTCTTGGTCAGCCGCAAAATGTACAGTCACTACCCTTTAAGGTATATTCTGTGAAGCACTTTTGAGACGTCTCGATGACGTGATAAGGCACCATATCAAATGCAAGGATTATTATTATCCGATGCACATGGAAACCAGACAGAGTTTCACATGTGTTTGCCACTTGCACACGGACATTTCCTGTGTCTGGAATGGGATGCGCACTCTCTCCCCGGAGGGATCGCGCCGCTCACCTAATTCCGGAGAGTATTAGGCGCAGTGCAAACTATTACTTTGGCGTGGAGATGTGGAGCTAAATTGTTCATGCGATCATTGTGTGCGGATTGTCGAAATCAAACCAACCCACTGAAGGAGGCACAGCCCAGCCTGGCTCGTCGGCAGGACTTGGAAGGGCAGAGCGGTCACTGGGGACAGGGAATCCTCCTACTCAGTCATCGCTGCCAGAACGTTTCTCAGTTACGTCTTCGATTCACACCTAAAGACTTTCCTCTTCGGCCGTGCCGTCAAGTCACCTTTTTTTCCCCCTCACTTTTATGTCTGGCTCCACGTCACGTCACGCCACTGTTATTATTAATAATAATAATAATAATAATAATCCTTGCATTTGGTACCACACCTTATCACGTCGTCAAGACGTTTCCCGCAATATACTGTCAAGTGTCGTGACTGCATATTTTGTGGGTGAAAAGCTCTCGGAAGGGTGTTATATAAAATAACAATGTGGTCACTCAATCCACAACTGTTTGTGGGAATACTGCTGTGTGCAGTTGGCTGCCACGTTTCGCCCAACCAAAGATACGGTCACCACACTTTACGGTATATGCTGTGAAGCGCTTTGAGACGTCTCGGTGACATGGTGAGGCGCTGCATCAAATGCAAGGATTATTATTGAACGCAGATGGTTGTTGTTGTGGATGGCGGACTGTTTTCTGAACGAAATCTCTTTGTACGTCCAGATCCCAGTATCGACCTACAGGAGAAGGACTTTGCTGTGAATACAATAGCAGGCGCTTTGAAGAGCTTCTTCTCTGAGCTGCCTGACCCGCTGGTGCCCTACACTACGCAGGTGGAGCTGGTGGATGTCAGCAGTAAGTACTGAAGCCTTGGCTCCTGCCTTCACCGCAGACCCATGGCATACAAGTGGCCTCGTCCATCCTGCTCCTTTCTCAGTGCTTCAGGTCATCTCTCATCCACAATTTAGTGGAGTCCTGCAGTGCCTGGCAGGCGAGAGGACCTGGGTTCGATTCCCAGGCGGGTCAGGGAGGAAACATTGGGGCAAGTTTCCTTACTCCACACCGCACACGCCTATGTTTACCCAGCGGTAAGTTGGAACACTCTTGATAGTCGATTGGTGGATCACTTTTCTGGGGGTAATAATCCCTTCAAAAACAAAAGTAATAATTTGGTCACTCAATCCCTCACTATTTGTGGGCCACTTGTGTGTAATTGACTGCCCCGTTTTGCCCACAAAATATACAGTCAAATCACTTTGAGCGTTTTGAGACGTCTCGAAGCTGTGAAAGGCGCTGTATCGAACAAAAGTATTATTATTTACTGCGCAATTGTGTTGAACTTGTTAGAGCTGTCGAGTTTAATTCTGGCGGTTGCTTTTATGTAATACACATACCTGCAGTTTGAGTGCAGGTGACTTGACCTGAATGGTGTAACCGAGAGGTCTGGTCTGCCAAGTTATTAGATCTTGGTGAACCTTGTCAAAAGAACCAGAGGGGAGACGAGGAGCCTTTTTTTTTGTAACCCAGAGAGCCGTTACAATCTGGAAGCAGATTCCATAATAGCTTTCAAAAGGGAATTGGACAGGGCCTTGAAAAGGAGAAAATGTGCAGGGCTATGGGGAAAGAGAAGGGGTAGTGGGGACTAGTTTGGGTAAGAGTGGGGAAGTGGGACTAGTTGGGGTAAGAGCAGGGGTGTGGGGACTAGTTGGTAGCTCTTTGACTGAGTCAGCACAGGTATGATGGGCCGAATGGCCGTCTCTCTGTGCGGTAAGGTTCTATGATTTCCCCACCTGCCTTCCTTGTCACCTTGGTGAGCTTTGCTGTGTCACAGTCGCTGCTCTTTCTCCACACAGAAACACCCGATAAGGAGCAGAAGCTGAATGCACTTAAAGACGTACTGAAGAAATTCCCGAGAGAGAATTATGAAGTGTTCCGATACATCATCACCCACTTAAACAGGTAAGTCCTCGCGCGTCGCAGAGCAGCGAAGCATTGGGATTGATTAATCCTGTGGGTCATAGCAAGAGAACGTCACAAGCCTTGGCTCAGGCTCGGCGGGGGGGGGGGGTGTGGGGGAGGAGTGAGCAAGAGCCGGAGATTGAGTTGTGTAGCACATAGGATCTTGTAGCCTCGTGGTTAGACCACTCGCCTCGCAAGCGAGAGGACCTGGGTTTGATTCGTTTCGCCCACAAAATACACAGTCACTACACTTTACAGTATATTCTGCGAGGCGTTTTGAAAGGTCTCAACGAGGTGATAAGGGGCTGTATCAAATCCAAGGATTATTGTAAGATATCAAATGCCAGGATTATCATTTGCCATTTGATAGAACTCCTTATTACGTCGTTTGAGACACGGTATTAATCGCGATCATTAAAAATCGCTGCATTTGATGTAACAACCACAGATTACATTTGCGTAAGGCCTTTCCCCGACGTCAGGCGGGACTTTACCGCGGAGCGAAGACATCTCGAAAGGCTCGATAGGATGAGATGGGACGTTCTGGTTGTGTTGAGGCTGAATAGGGGCTTTTCTTTGCTTTCAGGGTCACTCAACACAGCAAGATGAACCTGATGAACAGCGAGAACCTATCCATCTGCTTCTGGCCCACTCTGATGCGGCCAGACTTCCAGACCATGGACGCCTTGACGGCCACCAGAACCTACCAGACCATCATGGAGCTGTTCATCCAGCAGTGCCCGTTCTTCTTCTACGACGAGCCCATGAGGGAGCAGGCCAGCGCCACGCCCAGCTCGCCCACGTCGAACACTTCCTTCCAGTGTCCTTCCCCCGCGAGCACCATGCCCTCGCCCCCACAGTCCCCCCCGCAGACACCTTAACCATCAGCACAGCAACGATTTGCAACCTCTGGAGACCACCGCTGCCGGACGGAACAGCCAAACAAACTGTGAAGCGGGTGGTCAAACACGCCGGCTGGGATAGTCTAACTTGAGTCTAACCGGGTCCCTCAAACACTCACTTTGCCTCGGGAGTTTTGGGGAGACGTCTCTTTTTGTTTTTTTTGATCTCTGTTGCGCACGAAACAAAAAAAAAAGAAAGAACGAAAAATACCGTGGGCTGCAGGCGAACAAAAGTGACACAGCACTAAGGAGATTCGATCGAACTCCCGACAGCACCTCAGTGAACTCACGACGCTGACTGGATCCGAAGAGAGAAAGAGACGAAGAGAGAGAGAGAGAGAGAAAGAGTTGTGACGGACACAGGTTCTGCAACGGAGCGATTAATGAACGCTTTCCGGAACTGCGTAGTGTAGCGTTCGAATGGTTGATTAATTCAGGCCGGCGGTCAGTCGAATGAAAACTCGCTGAGCATGAACTTTGAGTCTTGACGCTCTGAGCCGAACACACAAAGAGTCACCTTCCTTGGAAATTGCCAACTTCTTTTTAATCCCCTCCTCCCCCCCACACCCCCACCTCCCTCTTCTCCTCCTTCTCCCCTTCCCCTTCCCCATGTGTCTGCAGATCAAGTGCTGCTATTTTAATATTTTTAGATACCTTAACGCCAAGCTGTGTTGGGGCGAGCGAGGGGCGAGAGGGGTTTCGGTCTCCCGCTGCCAAATGTACGCCAACTCATTCCAAGCGCCGGCCAGAGCAGAACGGTCAAGCCAGCATGTGGGTGTGGGTCGTTATAGACTCCACACCAGGAGACTGTTCTGATCTCGGGGAGCGGGTGGTTGTGTGGGTAGGGGTTGAGGGTGAGGGGTGGGTTGAGAGAGAGAGAGAGAAATCTTGTGCTGGACCAGAACCATTTTGTTTGCACGTCCTGTTGGGCGATTGTACCAGTGGGTGAGGTCTGACCCGACTGTGTTTTAACCGTGCCAAACTCAGCTGCTTGTGGTACCTTCCCGAGACGCAAGCAACGGTGGGTGGGGGTGGGGGCGGGCTGGGTGCGATGTAACGGTCAACGTCCCCCAGAGTCGGGGGCGGCTTTTCGGTGGCCGAACCCTTCGGGGTAAAGACCCACTTGCCTCCGGTTCTCCTGGCTGGCCAGCCATCGCTCTGCTCGTGTTGACTGTCGCCCAGTGGACGGTCGGCCTGACTCGCAGTCGCACTCCGAGGTTGCGCTGGAATCCCTGTGTTTGATTTTTCAGAGCTGCGTTTCTCTCGCTCGCCTCGCCCTCCCTCTTGTTTTCTCTCGGCCGTTTCCGTGGGCCCGGCCGACAGCAGCCTCTCCATCCTGGCCCCAGCCCAGTGTGACTTGCTGTGGAGAACGTGGAGCCTTCTGTTATCCAGTCGTTGGCGTGTCTGTACGGAATATGCCAACCCAGGTCCTGGCGTGTCCACGTGAGACATGCTAGTCCAGGCGTTGGCGTGTTAGAGTGACATACACAGCGGTCCCGGCTGCCGAACCTGCTCCTATTCCTAGCAATGCCCAGCGGAGAGACGGGACTGTATTGGCGGTTGGCACAGGTGCAAACCCGGGACTTGTCCGGATCTCACAGGGGATCATTCATAAAACGTGAACCTAACCTGGGATGGGGGGGGGAAGGGGGGTTTAGAGCAGATCGGTGGTGGTGGTTGGGTGGGGGGGGGGGGGGGCAGGTTGGCAGGATGGCAGAAACATTCCCCAGGTTAAGAGAGAAGAAAGTGGGTTGTATTTTGAACCAGTCTGTGATGAAACCTGTTTGCGTCTCACACTGAGAGTGGGTTGCGATGGGGAGACGTGATGTGATGTGTGGGTGAGAGGAGCTTTCGATGTCGCTCTTACCCTTAGATGTTTCTCTCTCGTGGGCGTTGCGTTCAGCTGACCAGAGCCAGGTTTGCCATGTGTCGTGATTTATTTCCCCCCCCCCACCCCTCACACCTTCCTCCTTTTTCCTTCTTGAGATTTCTTTTTCTCTCTCTCTCTCTCTCTCTCTCTGAAATCCGCAACAAACGTCTATGAAATGAAATCATGTCGTATCATATATCATATCATATCGCAAAGGCACTAAACTGTAGTTCGGGTGTGCGTGTGCGCGTGTGTATGTGTGCGTGCGCGTGTGTTTGCGCGCGCGCGCGTGTGTGTGTTTTTCTTTTGCACAGTTTCCTGTTCAATGTGCCAGTTTGCACTTTAAACTCGGGTTATTGTGGTTTCGTGTCTCGTCAAATGGCTAGCGTAGATCGTGGAGAGTTAGCGAGGAAATTATTCAGGGGTTTGGGGGAGGGGGAAGCTTTGGGGGTGGGGGGGGGGGGGGGGGAATCAGAACTGAGCCTCTCCTCAACTGATGTTAACACAAACACGCTTACCAGTTGGGGCGGGGGGGAGACTCTGGGAGTCCTGGAGGGTCCGTGGTTAGAGCAAGCGAGAGGACCTGGGTTCGATTCCCCGATGAAACGTTGGCCAAGTTTTTCAGTCCGCTCCGTTCACTAAGTAGGTTGTTAGTCGATTGGTGGATCGGTTTTCCGGGGCGGCGGTGGGGTGGGGTGGGGGGGTGGGGGTAATAATCCTTTCCCCCCAAAAATAATTAATAATAATTTGGTCGCTCGATTCCCCCGACTGTCTGTGGGACGCTGCTGTGCGCGGTCGGCTGCCAGGTTTGGCCCACAAGCTACGCAGTCGATGCACTTTACAGGGCGTCCTGTGAGGCGCTTTCGAGACGTCTCGAAGACCTGATAAGGGGCTGCGTCAAGGGGGAGGATTATTGCCATTTTTCTGGCAGCCTCAGGATTTTTGGGGTGCGTGGTCGTGGTGGGTGGATCCGCGGGAGGCTCAAGTGCGAGTTGTCGTCGTCAGCAGTCGTTGAGCGGGAGGGAGAGAGGGAGTGTGTCGCTTCCCACTTAACTCCCCGCATCCGTGTAGCGGGACCAGAAAAGCTACGAGATTTAGAGAGTGGGGGGGGGGAGAGAGAGAGAGAGAGAGAGAGAGAGAGCGCGCGCGGGAGAGTGAAACGAGTGGGAAAAGCGAAGGGGGAAAGGGAGACCACGTCAAATCGTAAGGCAGGACATCGCCGCTCTTTGTAAAGTAGTTTGCATTCCTTTCCGTGTGTCCGGGGCTGGCGAGCGTGTACGGTTCCCCCACTTCGCGCGGCGGCAGAAACGGGGGCCAGGGGCTCAGACAGCTTGAGGATTGGCACGGCGGACGCGTGCGAGGGGTGGGGGGGCGGCGTGTGGCAAAGGAGGGGGTGGGGGGAATTTGTAGGCGTTCGTTGCCCCTCTCCCAGCATGAAGTGGATGCAACCCACTTGCCCCGAGGTGGCGAGAGACTGGTTAATTCGGAGCGTGGTGGGGAGGGAGAGAGAGAGAGAGGTGGTGGGGTGCGGGGAGATTTTTTTTTCCCCCGAGAGCGTTGGACTGAACGCACTAGAGACCTGAGCGCCAGGAGTGAGCGGATAGGAGTGTGTTCTGCGTCACTCTTCTGCCCTCGGGGGCTGCAGCTCACACTCGCGCGCGCACGCACACACTCAAAGCGAGGAGGGTGCCCCCGGGCGGGGGGTCTTAACTCAGCCGCCGGGACAGGAGGCCGGGTGCTAATCACGCTGTTTTTACATCTCTCGGCCAGGTTACAGTAGAGGAGTTTCCCGGTAGTTCTTGAGTTTGGCGTTTGAGCCGTTGAGAGCAGGGCCCAGCAGTGCAAACGTAAGTTCAGCTTTCCCCTTCCGATAAGACGGCTGTCGTCCTTGATAACGTAGATGTCTGTAGTAGTGTCCAGTCTGCAGCCAAGGGTGCGAGGGTCTCCAGCCCCGTCCCTGAGCCGGTCCGGTCCGCAGGGAACTTGCTACTGACCGCGGCCCGGCACGGCCCGGTCTGGCTCATCGGCAGCACCTGGAAGGGTCGACCAGTCACTGGGGGGCAGGGAATCTTCTCCCTCAGCTCCATGTTATCCCCGCAGCCAAAGCCCTAACTGACTAACTAACCAACGGGGAGGGGGGTCCTAGTTGGACAAGCAGCGGGAACGCTTGGCCACACGGTGCTCTCTCTCTCTCTCTCGATGGCCAAGTCGTGCAGTTTTAAATCAGCGGCGCCTCTCCTCAAGTCAAAGTAATCGGGCATCTCCCCTATAGCTCTGAGACCACACGTACGCACACACCTCCGTACTCCCACTCACACGCCGCACAGCACTGGTCCGTTCCCCC